GCAGCAACAGCAGCAGCAGCAGCAGCTGGGTCAGCCCAATGTGCTTCCGTGCGGGTGCCGATCTGTGTCGGCTCTCCGCGCACTCTCTCAGACCGTGTGGGATCAGCAACTGCAGCAGCAGCAAGCTCCGGTGCAGCAGCATCAGTGGCAGCAGCAGCAACAGCAGCAGCAAATGCTGTCTCAACAGCCCCTTCAGGGTATAAGACGCCCTTTAACTGACTGCACGCCATATTGGGGCTCCGTAGGGGCCTCAACTGCCTTCGCAGATACACAGCAGCAGCAGCAGCAGCAGCAACAGCAGCAGCAGCAGGAGGAAAGCTTTATGCCGACGTGGGAAGAGGAGACACTTCGTGAGGCGCAGGAACTGCACCGCCGATTTCAGGAGATTGCAAGGGAGCAGCAGCTGCAGCAGCAGCAGCAGCAGCAACAGCAGCAACAGCAGCAGCAACAGCAGCACCGACACCAACAGAAGCCGCAGCAGCAGCATCAACAGCAGCAGCAGCTTCCGGTGCGGCAGCAGCAGGTCATGGAGACGGAGGGAGCGCAACGGCAGCAACAGCAGCAACAGCAGCATAAGCAGCAGCATCAGCATCAGCAGCAGCAGCAGCAGCAGCCACAGCAGCAGCATCAACAGCCGCAGCACGAGACAGGCGGCGCTATGTGCTGCTGCTGCTCTCCCTTCTTGCCAGTGCCCACGCCGGAGCGTTTCAGGGCGGAGAAGCAGCAGCGGCTGCAGCAGCAGCGCAGCAAACGCTATGCGCTGCAGCAGCAAACCCGCGACATTCGAGCTGCCAGGGATGCAGGGGCTGGGGGCCTCTTGCAACTGCGCCCTGTACACACACAGCAACAGCAGCAGCAGCAGCAGCAGCAGCAGCAGCAGCAGCGGCAGCAGCAGCGGCAACAGGTGACACAGCAGCACCAGGTACCGCAGCAGCAGCAGCAGCGGCGCCAGCAGCAGCTGCAGCAGCAAGAGGCGAGGACGGGACCTCCGCAGCAGCACCAGCAGCAGCAGCAGCACAAGGCAATGCCTCCAGGAAGCCCGGATGTGAGTGCAGATGAAGCTGCTGATTCTTCCCAAGCTAGCGGTGCTCCCTTCATGCTGCAGCAGCTGCAGCAGCAGCAGCAGCATCTGCTGCTTCAGCAGCAGCAGCAGCAGCAGCAGCAGCAGGGAGCAGAGGGAGCAGCAGGGGCTGTATTCTGCTGCTGCGCCGGTAGCGCTGAGGGAAGCTGCACTTGCGGGCGAGGTCAGCAGCAGCAGCAAAGGAGGAGCAGCAGAATAAGACAAGCAGGGACACCGCAGCGCTTGCTGCAACTGCTGCAGCGTCACGGAGGACCCCATCAGCAGCAGCAAAAGCTGCAGGCGCAGCAGGAAGGAAACGAACAGCAGCAACTGCTCCAGCAGCAGCAGCAGCAGCAACAGCAGCAGGGAAAGGAGACTATAGAGTCAACGTTGTGGCCCTTCCGGGCGCTTCCTTTAGGCGAAGTGATGCAGCGGCGGCTGCAACAGCAGCAGCTAAAGCAGGAGCAGGAGCAGCAACAGCAGCAGCAGCTGCTGCAGCAGCAGCAGCAGGTGCAGCAGCAGCAGCAGCAGCAGCAGCAGCAGCAGGGTTGCTGGAGGGACTCCTTTACTGCCGCTTGTTCACAGTATATGCCGTTTGCTGAGCGGTGTCTGAGCCCTTCCTTCAGGGCGCTGCTGCAGCAGCAAATTCCGCTGCAGCACGAGCAGCAGAAAAGGCACTTGCTGCAGCTGCAGCAGCAGCAGCAGCCGTTGCTGCTCCCTGAGACGGACAACCGAGATATACAGCAGCAACAAAACCTGCAGCAGGAGGCCGCGTGGGTAGTGACCCACCCGGGAATGCAGCAGCAGCAGCAGCAGCAGCAGTTGCAGCAGCAGCAACGGCAGCACGAGCAACAGCAGAAGCAACTCAAGCTGGAACACCAGCAGCTGCAGCCATGCATCCAGCTGCTGCAGGATCTGCTGCAGCAGCAGCAGCCCTCCACAGCACCGACAGAAACCGCTGCTCCCTCGCTGCAGCTGGAGCTACAAGCCCCAGAACAGCAGCAGCAGCAGCAGCAGCAGCAGCTGGGCCCGCACTGGCTGCCGGAGCATCCTCACTGGCTGCCTAAGTACGAGCCGCTGCCTTCATGGTATTTCGACCAGCAGCAGCAGCAGCGGCAGCAGCTGCAGCAGCAGCAGCATCTGGAGCCGCAGCAGCAGCAACTGCTGCTGCAGCAGCAGCAATCCTGCTGCTCCTGGGGCCTCCCTTCCTCCTGCAACGAGACTGCAGGGGAGATGCTGCAGTCCCCTGTCTCTGTGCTGCTGGGACAGCGGATGGATGCACCGGAAGCTGCTGCTGCGGCTGCTGCTGCTGCTGCTGCTTTTGGCAGCAGCGCCACCTTCTGCCTGCCTATCGATGAGGCCTCATATACGCGAAATGAGCAGGCGCAGCACGAGCAGCAGCAGCAGAAGCAGCAGCTGCTGCTGCAGCTGCAGCAGCAGCGGCGGCGGCGTGAACAGGATATGCAGCAGAGGGCACTGCAGCAGCAGCAGCCCGAGCTAGAGGAGACGCAGCAGGAGCAGCAGCAGCCGCTTGACCCGGAAACGCAACAGCAGCAGCAGCCGCAGCAGCAGCAGCAACGGGAGAAAGAACAGCAACAGCAGCAGCAACCCAGTGAGGCACCAACGGATGAGCCGCCGGGGGAAAGCAAAAGCGTTGTCTCTGCTGCGTGCAACCTTAACTGCAGCAGCAGCAGCAGCAACAGCAACAGCAGCAACAGCAGCAGGAAGGCGTTTTACCTGCGTGCAACAGTACTGCGTTTAGAGGGGATGCAGCTGCAGCGGCGGCGTCGGTACGTGGCGCGGCAGCAGCAGCTGAAGCAGCAGCAGCAGCAGCAGCAGCAGCAGCACCATGCCGTGAGCCCGCTGCTGCGCGCGTGTCTCTCCGTCTCTGTCTCTAATTGTGGGAGACGCCTGCAGCAGAGACACCGCGTCAGAGCAGCAGGACTGCATGCATTTGTGAAAACAATTAGGGATAAACATAGGCAGCAGCAACAGCAGTTGCTGCGGCTCATCAGCAGCGGTCAAGCCGCTGCAGCAGCAGCTTGTGCTGCTGCTCTACCTTCGGCAGCAGCAAAACCCTTTGTCAGACGAACTCGGGCAGCAGCAGCAGCAGCTGCTGCTGCTGCTGCTGTTGCTGCTGCAACAGGGAAAAGGTCTTCAAAATCGGCATCAAGAGCAACAGCGACATCAGCAACAGGAACAGCAGCAGAAGCAGCACCTGCTGCTGCTGCTTCAATAGCAGATGGCCTGAGCCTCCGTCGCTTAGTAGCATCACAACGGCGGCAGCTGCAGCAACAGCAGGAGGTGCTGCAAAGACAGCGCCTGCGCATAGCGTATCTGGAGCAGCAGCAGCAGCAGCAACAGCAGCACCTCCGGCTGCTGCAGCAGGAGCTGCTGGTGACGCAGCGGCTCCAACCGCAGCAACAGCTTATCGCAGATAACGAATTTGACTGCAGCCCCGCCAAACTGCAGCAGCAGCAGGAGCAGCAACAGCAGCTGGACGCGCGGGTGCACTTGCTGCAGCTGCAGCTCGAATGCATGCAGCAGCAGCTGCTGTTGCTCCTGCGGCGCCGCAGCAGCAGCAGCAACAGCAGCAGGAAACGCATTACATCGAACTCTCTGGATGGCGCCCGTACCGCCTCTTCCCCTCCGCAGCAGCGGCAGCAGCAGCAACGGCAAGAGCTGCCGCAGCTGCAGCAGCTGCAACAGCTGCAGGAATTGCAGCAGCTGCTGCAGGAGGACCATCAGCAGCTGCAGCTGCAGCAACAGCAGCAGGAAATTAAGCGAAAGGAGCTTTTGCAGCAGGAGAAGACGCCAGTGGACTTTCACGTACAGCTGCAGCTGCTGGATAGGCAGCTGGCTGAGGCGCAGCAGCAGCAGCAGCAGCAGCAGCTGGGAAAGCGAGAGGCGCATACAAAGCAAATGGAAGAAGAAAGAGAGGCCCTTGCGGCGAAGCAGCACCAGCTGCAGGCAGAGCTAGAGCGACAGCTACAGCAGCAAGAGGAGCAGCTGCTGCTGCTAGAGCAGCAGGAGCAGCAGCAGGAGATGCTGCTGCAGCAACAGAGAGACCGGCAATTGGAGGAGCACCAGCAGCTTCTAAAGCAACAGCAGCAGCACATAGACGAGCAGCAGGAGCACCTGCAGCAGCAGCAGCAACATCAACGGAAGTCGCGGGAGGGGCGGCAGCCAGAGACTGAAAGGCAGCAGCTGCAGCAGCTACAGCAACACGAGCAGCAGCAGCAGCTAGAGCAGCAGCAGGAGCAGCACAGGCGAAATATACAGCAGCATGAAGAGCTCTTTAGACTCCGGCAGCAGCTGATGGAGCAGATGAGGCTGTTGCTGCTGCTGCTGACGCAAACAAATCCTTCTGCCCCAGTGGAGAGGAATCAGCTGCAGCTGCAGCAGCTCCAGCAGCAGCTACAGCTGCAGGAAGAGCAGCAACAGCAACTGCAGCAGCAGCAGCTGCTGCAGATGCAGCAGCAGCGGCAGCTGCAGGAACAACAGCAACAGCGCCAACACCAGCAAGTGCAGCAGCAACAGTTGCAGCAGCAGCAAAGGCCGCAGCACCAGCAAGTGCAGCAGCAGCAGCAGCATCAGCCGGTGCAGCAGCAGCAGCAGCAGCCTCTGCCAAGGCTAGCAGTGGCGATGCAACAACTGCTGCAGCACCAGGAACAGCAGCAACGCCTACGGGAGAAGCAGCTGGAGCAGCAGAAGAAGCTGCTGCAGCAGCAGCAACAGGCGCGGAAGCAGCAACTGCTCCGGCAGGAACAGGAGCAGGAGCAGCTGCTGCAGCAACACCGCCAGCGTGTTGCTGCTCTGCCTTCTGCAAAAGGTGAAGGCGACTCAAGCGGCACGCAGCAGCAAAGCAGCAGCAGCAGCAAAGGTCCTTCTGCGATTTCAGCTGTACATGCCGCAACAGTTGCTGCTGTGAACAGTGCAGCTATTGCTGCTGCTGCAGCTGCTGCAGCAGCGGAGTTTGTAGCAGAGCGAACAGTAGCTTCGAGGAGATCAGGAGACTGCAGCAGCCGCTGCAGCAAGAACAAGAGCAGCAGCAGCTGCTGCAGCAGCAAAAGGAGCAGCAGCAGCAGCAGCAACCCGGTAGTGTCGTCCAGCTCTACAGATATATCCGAGTTGCGCACGTCGCAGCATAAGCAAAACGCTGCTGCTGCTGCTGCTGCTGGCAGCAGAAGCAGCCAGCAGCAGCATCAGCAGCAACAGGAGCAAGAGGAGTATGAGCAGCAGCAACACGAGGAGCAACAGCAGCAGAAGCGACTGCAGCAGCAGCGGCGGATGCAGCAAAGGCGTGAAGAGGAGCAGCAACTGCAGCAGCAAGAAGATGAGGAATCCGATGATGAAGCCTCAGTTGACGAGGAGACAGCAGCAGCAGCAGCAGCAGCAGCAGGAGCCAAGCAGCAACGGAAACTTCACACCCAGCGCAGCAGCAGCCTGCTGCTCCTTCGCTCCAGCCAGCAGCAACAACTAGACCAGCAGCAACTGGAGCAGCAGCAGCTAGAGGAGCAGCAGCAAGAGAAGCAGCAGCTAGAGCAGCAAGAAGAAGAAGAAAGCGACGCGTTTAGCTATGATGCAGACGGAGACTTTGAGGTCGGGCCTCTGTACACTGAAGAGGAAATACAGGCGCTGCAGCAGCAAGAGCAGCAGCAGCGAGAGCAGCAGCTGCAGCAGCAGCAAAGTGACGCTAACAGAGGACTTCTCCACGGAGAATATTACGCCGGAGAAGAAGCAAATATACAGCAGCAGCAACACGAGGGCGAGCAGCAGCAGCAGGATCTGCAGCAGCAGCAGCTCGAGCAGCAGCAGCAGCTGCTGCTTCAGGAGCAGGAGGTGCTGCAGGCACTGCACAAGCAGCAGCGGGAGCAGCTGATGATGCAGCAACGCGATGAGTTGCAGCAACTCGAAGTGCAGCAGCAGCAGCAGGAGCATGATGCCCAGATGCAGTTTCTGCTGCTGAGGCGCAGCAGCAAACTAAACGCCAACGCCACCGCTGGGCCTACACTTCCCCATGAGGGAGCTACTCAGCAGCAGCAGCACCAGCAGCAGCAGCAGCAGCAGCAGCAAGAGAAGCAGCAGCAGCAGCAGCAGCCTGGCGCCGACGAGGAGTCCAGCAGAAGCGAGGAAGCAAATGAAGTGGAAGGCCAGCGGCAGCAGCAAGACGAGCCGCAGCAGCAGCAACAGCAGCAGCAGCAGCAGCAGCAGCAGGGAGGGGGTTGGTTTACGGCTCTCCCTTTATCACCGCAGAGCACCCAGCGACCAATCCTTAGCAAAGCGCTGCAGCTCTCACGGGGCTAGCAGGCCCCATCTAGCTAGCTGCGTCTAGCTAGCTAGCTAGCTGCCTAGTTAGCTGGCTAGCTGGTTGCTGAGATGGTAGGCCTAACAGCAAGCTGTCTAGCTAGCTAGCTAGCTAGCTGTGCAGCTGGCTAGGCAGCTAACTGCACAGCAAGACTCAGCTAGCCACGTTAAAGCCGCAGCTAGCCACCTCAGGCGGGAGGGAGGCACTGCTGCTCAGCAGCAGTTGCAGCAGCAGCACGAGCACCAGCAGTTTGCTGAAGAGCTCTGCAGCTGCAGCAGCAGCAGCAGCGAAAGCAGCAGCTGCTGCTGCCTCTCTAGCGTATGTCTTCATGCCAGCCAACTGTCAATGAAGTATTTAGAGCCCTCAGGAGCAGCAGCAGCAGCAGCAACACAACCACCACCAGCAGCAGTAGCAGCAGCAGCAGCCCATGAGAGCACAAGGCAGGCATCTACGCACTTACGTAACGAGAATACGACCTCGCTTAAGCTAGCTAGCTAGCTAGCTACTCAAGGCAAGCTAGCTACTCAGGGCTGGCTAGCTAGCTAGCTGGGTACCGCCACAAGGCTAGCTAGATACACAGACAGCTGGCTAGCTACTTCCACAAGAGTCGGTAGCTAGATAGATAGCTAGATAGATAGCTAGATATACAGCTAGATAGATAGCTGGCTAACCACCTCCACAGGACTAGCTAGTTAGACCGCTAGCTAGCTACCTATGAACGTCTAGCTAGCTAGCTAGCTGTAAATAGAAAGTTAGCTAGCTAGCGGAGGTCCACAAAGAGAAGGAAGCGGCTAGCTATCGAAGCAGAACTTAAAAGTGAAAACCAAAACCATTGCTGCTGCAGCAAAAGGCAGCCCCTAGGGTCCTCAACTGCTGCTGCTGATGCTGCTGCTGTTGCTGCTGTTGCTGCTGCTGCTGCTGAGTGAAATCTGCCTAGGTGTGCAGAAGCGGCGCAGAGACACCGCAGCAGCAATAACGGCAGCAGCAGCAACAACAAGGACAGCAACAGCAGCAGCCGAAGCAGGCTTATTCAGTCTGCTACAACTCGATGGGTTTAGCAGCAGTGCCTGATGCTGCTGCATCTGCATGTGCAGCTGGAGCTGTTGCTGCTGGTGTTGCTGCTGCTGCTGCTGCTGCTGCTGCTGCATCTGTTGCATGCTTGCTGCTGCTAGCTTCGTGCAGCGTAAACTCATAAGCCAATAAAGCATCAGCAGGCGACGTAACACCAGAAGCAAGCAGACACATGTCCTGCAGCAGCTGCCGGATGCGGGGGCCCCTAAAGGCTTGGAGGCAGTGCAGCAGCAGCTGCTGCTGCATTGGGTCGAGCTCTTGCAGCGGCGATCGCTTGCTGCTGCTCCCGCTGCTGCTGCTGCTGCTGCTGCTGCTGTCTTTTAACCAGGAGGAGACACACAGCAGCAGCGTAGTATTGTGCTGCTCTCCCCAACGCGCAAACAGCTTCCATAGGACCCCTAGGCTCTCAACACCCCACACTCCTAGAGAGCTGAGGACTGCTGGCAGCAAATGCTGCAGCTGCTGCTCCATTTGCTGCTGCTGCTGCTTAGGACAGCAGCAGCAGCAAACATGCAAGTACCGCAGACACTTCTTCGCTACCTCTGCATCATCCCCCCGCAATATGCATGCACACAGCAGCAACGAATCTTTGTATGTGCTGCTTTCAAAGAAACAAACCTCTCCTGCTTCTGCTGCCCCCTGCTGCTGCTGCTGCTGCTGCTGCTGCCCTGAGGCAGAGGCGAGGGCCGAGAGAAACTCCAGCAGCGGGATGTATGCGTCTGTCATGTCTTGGGGGAGGTGTTTGCTGAGGTGTATATACAGCTCAACTGCAGCAGCACCGTCACTAGCTAATCGCTGCCGCACCAGCCGCTGCAGCGGGGGGTTTGCTGCTGCGATGCGCAGCAAATCTGACAGCAGCACAACGCAGCAGCCCTGCAGCGCCACAGATGCTGCAACGGCGCTCTCACCCTGCCGCTGTTGCTGCTGCTGCTGCTGCTGCAGCTGCTGCAGTGCAGCAGCAGCAGCAGAAAGACACGCCTCCACCATTTGAATGACAGCTGCCCACATACTCTGTGCTTCCTCTATACACCCCAGAACAACTAGCAGCAGCCTCAGACACCTGAGGGCTCGGACATAGAGAGCCCCTCCTGTTTCGCTGCCTTGCTGCTGCTGCTGCTGCAGCTGCTGCTGCTGCTGCTGGTAGTCGTGGTAGTAGTACAGCTCAGGCTTCTGCTGCTGCTGCTGCCGCGGCTTCAACTCCAGCAGCACAGAAAATGAAAGACGCTCCCCTCCCCAGACACTGCGTGGCGGTGCTGCAGCATTATGCAGCAGCACATGCAGGATCAGCTGCAGCAAAGGCACCCATAGCGGTGTGTCTTCTTCTACTACCTGCTGCTGCTGCTGCTGTTGTTGTTGTTGCTGCTCCTGCTGCTGCAGAGTGCAGCCTGCTGCCCCGTGCTGCTGCAGAAACGCCTGCTGTTCCTTGGGGGACCGCAGCAGCAGCAGCGCTAGGCAATCGCTTGCAGAGTTTGATTCGCTGCTGCTGCCAGCAGCAGCAGCAGCTGCTGCTGCTGCTGCTGGTCCCCGTGAGACCTCAACCTTCCCTGAATAAAGAGCAGCTGCGCAGCAGTCTAACCTCGCCAGCAGCCTTGCGGCTTGCTGCTGCTTGTTGCTGCTGCTGCTGTTGCTGTTGCTGCTGCTGCTGCTGCGGATTCCCTGTGCTGTTTGCTGCAGCAGCTGGCAGAAAAGAGACATCATCTCCAGAGGGGGGAAGTGCTGCAGCAGCTTCACAACAGCAGCATGCAGCGTGCCATCGACCTGCGGCTGCTGCTGCGGTGCAGCAGCAGCAACAAACTGATAAAATTCCTGCAGCTGCTGCAGTCGCCTTCTCGCGAGAAGCGCAGGGTCTGTGTCTGCTGCTGCTGCTGCAGCTGCTGCCGCTGCAGCATTAGCGGCAGCAGCAGCTGCTGCCGCCGCCGCTTTCAGCGACGGATCGAACCACTGGATCTGCTGCTGCTGCTGCTGCTGCTGTTGTATGTGCTGCTGCTGCTGCTGCTGCAGCTGCTGCTGCTGCTGCTGCTGCTGCAGGTATGTGTCTTGCAGCAAAGGGAAGCCTAAGTGGTGGCCGCCCCACGTCGCCAGCTGCAGCAGCGCGTCAGCAAGCAGCGCAGGCTGCAGCAGCAGCAAATTGCACAGAGATCGCAGAGAAGCTACCCAAAGAGCAGACAGCAGCGGAGAAGAGCAGCAAAAAGCAAAAGAAAGCGGAGACTGCAGCAAACCCTCACAAGCCATCTCCTCAGTGAAGTGTATAGCCACCTTGCCCAGCAGCAGCGCAGCAGCAGCAGCAACAGTTTGCTGCTGCGGCAGCCTGTCTAATGCCAGCAGCACAGCAGCAAAAGGCTGAGGAATGCCGTTTACTGTCTCTACAACAGAATCTAGCAGCAAAAGGAGACATCTGATGCTGCTGCAGTCTCTGCTATTTACTGCACTCAGCAGCAAAGCAGCAAGCATTGCTAAGAAGTCTAAAGCTTGCTGCTGCCCGCAGCTCTCAGCTAGCAGCAGCAAATCACTTAACACATCTCCTGCTGCCTCCATAAAAGCACCCAACTCCCCGCCGTCGTCCTGCTGCCACAAGCTGCTGCTGCTGCTGCTGCTGCTGCCGTGCTGCAGCAGACTGGACACGCAGCAAGGCGCTACCGAAGCTGTTAGCTGCTGCAGCAATTCCTGCTGCAGCAAGCCGTCTCTTTGCTGCTCTTTTAGCTGTGCCCAGAAGGTAGACATTCGTAGCCAAGTTAACGGGTTGCAGTTCCACAGCAGCAGCAGCAGCCGTGCTGCTGGTGCTGCTGCAGGCTGCAGCAGCAGCTGCGGCTGCCCCTCAATCAGCGTCAGCAGCACACCCCCCCAACGAACAAGAAGTGCTGTCTTGCTGCAGCGTGGCTGCTGTTGCAGCAGCAGCAAATTTGCTTGTACATCATCAGCAAGCATATCAAACGTCTGCAGCAGCTGCTGCAGCAGCATTAATTCCGCAGGTCTTGGTGCAGCAACTCCTTGGGGTTTGCTGCTGCTGTCTTCTGCTGCTGCTGCTGCTGACTGTACACCCCAAAGGCCCATAAAAGCAGGTAAGCGAGGTAAAGCAGCAACAAGACAGTCTGTAAGAGCAGCAAATTCTTTATAAGGAGACAAGCTGCAGCACAAAGAATAACAAAGCTCCTCTACACAAACTTCTTGTGTCTCTGCAGACTCCAGCCAAACCCCTAGCAGCTGCAGCGCCGCCTCTCCGCAGTTTGCTGCAACACTGCTGCTGCTGCTGCTGCTGCTGTTGTTGTTGTTGTTGCTGTTGTCGTTGTTATTATTTGTGCTGCTGTTGCTGCTGCTGCTGCTGCTGCTGCTGCTGTTGCTGCTGTTGCTGCAGGCTGCTGCAGCAGCAGCAAGCACATGACTGCCAAAGAGCATAACTGAAGGCCTTGCTGCAGCAACACACTTTGAATAAAAACCCTCTAAGTATCTGCGGCCCCCCCGAGAAGGCACGTCAGCAGCACGTGCTGCAGCAGGAAAGGAAGCAACTGCTGTTACGCACACCCACAAACACCAATCTAAACACATCCCGCTGCTGCTGCTGCTGCTGATGATGCTGCTTATGCTGCTGCTGCTGCTGTTGCTGCAAGGTACCTGCTGCTCATTCACGCAGCCGGAGCGATTACGACTACCGAAAAACATTATCTCCGCTAAAGGGGCCCATAGCTGCTGCTGCTTTTGCTGCTGCTGCTGCTGTTGCTGTTGCTGCTGCTGCTGCTCCTCGTCTTCTTGCTGCTGCGGCTCCTCATCGTCATGCTGCTGCCGCTGCTGCAGATCTGCAATCCGCTGAAATGCAAGAACAGCAAGACAATGCCCTAGCCTCCCACCCACCGCACTGCTCAGCTGCTGCTGCTGCTGCTGTTGCTGCTGCTGCTGCTGCTGCATGCGTATCATTGCGTCAAATAGAGCAGCAGCAAGCTCATCTTTGTGCTGCTGAGGCAGCGTCCAGCCCTCATTCTCAATCTTCCACGCCAGAGTTTGGGCCCCAACAAGCTGCAGCTGCTGCTGCTGCTGCAGCAGCAGCAGCCGCGAGACACCCCAAGCAGCAGCAGACCGTTGAAACTGCAGCAGCCAGTTGTTTGCTGCTGCCTTCTTCTGCGGGTCAGGGTCGGTGTACAAACACTCCAGCTGCTGCTGCAGCACAAACACCAGCTTCTCAGGGTCCTGTGTCTCCCCTGCTGCTGCTGCTGCTGCTGCTGGATCAGAAGCTGCTGCTAATGAGCAGCAGCCCGGAGTCCCGCCCTGGGGGTCCATAGCGGCGAATAGAACCCGGCATCAGCAGCTGCTGCTGCTGTTGCTGCTGCTGTTGCTGCTGCAGCTGCTGCTGCGGATGCTGCGGTTGCTGCTGCTGCAGTTGCTGCGCTGCTCCCGCCGCTGCTTCTCCTGTTGCCGCTCCCACTGCTCCTGCTGCTGCTGCTTCTTTTGCTGCAGCGTAAACCTCCACACCTGCGGAGGTCTCGAGCTGTCGAACCTGCAGCCGCTACCTGCAGCGAAACACCAAACCCTAAACCCTAAACCCTAAACCCTACACCCTACACCCTAAACCTTGATTGAGTGTGCACAATAAAGCTGCTGGAAGCTTTATTAAACTCCTCGGCGTACAGGAGAAAGAGAAGCCCCAGCGGCAGCAGCATGCGCCTAGCAGCAGCAGCAGCAGCAGTAGCAGCAGCAGCCCCAGCTGCAGCACAGACTAGCGTAAGAAATAAATAATAAAAGACAGAAATGTTTTAAATATTAATTTGCATTTAATTTAAATTGGCGAATCCTCCCGCTATTTCTTTTTCTGACGCTATTGTTGCTACCGTTGCTAGTGCTGCTGCTGCTGTTGCTGCTGTTGCTGCTGCTGCTGCTGCTGCTCCTGCCCTATGTGTTGCAGAAGCACACCCATTCTTTCTGGCTCAAAGCGGCAGCAGGGGGCGAACTCTGCTGCTACTGCAGCAGCCGCAACAGCAGCTGAGCTGCAGCAGCAGCAGCAGCAGCCAGTGTGCTGCAGCAGCTGAAGAAGAAGCAACTGCAGGAAAGACAGCATCAGCAGCAGCTGCTGCTGCTACGGTCCAGCCGCAGCAACAGCAGCATGTGGGCTATCGGCCCAGAAGGGCTCCCACAGATTGCAAGAGCAGGCAGAGCAGCAAACAGCCGCAGCCGCTGCTGCAGCAGCAGCAACAGCAGCAGCAGCAGCAACGGCAGCAGCAGCGACAGCAGCATTTGCTGAACGGGTTTCAACGAACGACATTAGCAGCAGCAGCCACTGCAGAAGCAGCAGCAACAGCAGCAAAGAGGGGAGCAGTTTACCCGCCAGCTGTCCATACGCTGCGGCATCATTCAGAGCAGCAGCAACAGCAGCAGCAGCAGCATCCCCAGCAGCACGTGCAGAAACAACGCCAACAAGGACAGCATCCGCCGCTGCAGCAGCAGTGCCATCAACGGCACCAGCGTCACCCGCAGCAGCAGCAAATAAGCTAGCCGCAGCAGCAGCAGCAAGAACAATAAGAACAAGGAAAGCAACAGAATCAGCAGCAACAACAACATCAGCAAAAACAGCAGTGACAGCTCCACGAGGAGCACCAACAGCACCAACAGCAGCAACAACAACAACAACAACAACAACAACAACAACAACAACAACAACAACAACAACAAC